CCAAAAAACTCTATTTTTCTCAACGATTATCACAAATTAGTAACAAAAGCTTTTGATTCACAGCTTTAAGATCAATATGCCTACAAATTTTGAAAGATTCATGCCCTATTTGGCATGAAATTTCAGAAATGGCGGAAACCCTAAACCCCGAATTTTTCTTGATCCAAAAACAACCAATTTTTCCACCATTTAATCCTTGAAAAAGTTGAATAAAGCTGTTTACAGCCTGCAAAACAGATCACATGCCGAAAAAAATAAAAAAAATGATAAAAAAATGGCAAATTTGAAAAAATCCGTGAAGAACACTGTGCAACCCGTGTTCTTCACGGACTCGCCGATTCCGCACAGTGAATCGGCGAGTCACTGTGCGGAATCGTCCGGTTCTCTCTAGAACCGGACGATTCCCGATTTTTGAACCGATCCGGTACCTTTTTCGTGAATTCCGAGTCGAACCGGCGAGTCCGGTTCGACTCGGCGATTTTTAAAACGCTGGTTTTACCTAATTTAATCTATCATACACATACAACATTGGCGACCTCAGACCACTGGTAATCACTAGCAACCTCCGGCGACGTAGGAGGAGGAGAAACCACCGACGACCTCAGAGAACACCACCAAGCAACCTCAGAGACCACTGGCAACCTCAGACTACGACCTCCCGTGACCTATATCTTTTAGCCTTTGCCTGTTCTTCTAGTGTTTTTTTACCTTTTGGTGCTTCCTTTTTCTTGTTCTTTATTATTAGATTTGATTTATCTAACTCATATATGTTCTTAAAGCCATAGATAGATATGAGGTTATTGCTTTAGATCTGAGCCTTTCTTTCTCAAATCTGACAATGATCTAAGTCTCTTTTTCTTTCTTCCCCCTACTCTATTCACTGTTTATCCTTTTTGTAGTATTTTCTCTCTTCTCTTTTGTTCTATCTGTTGCCTCTCCCTCTCCTTCCCTCGTTCTTTCTTTGTTTCTATTTGCTCTTGCTTCTTGTCTGTGTCCCCCCCACTCTCTTTTGTAGTATTTTCTCTCTTCTCTTTTGTTCTATCTGTTGCCTCTACCTCTCCTTCCCTCGTTCTTTCTTTGTTTCTATTTGCTCTTGCTTCTTGTTTGTGTCCTCCCCACTCTCTACATTTTATTCTTGTCTATCCCTTCCTCTCTCTATCTCTCTCTACCTTCCTTTTTGTCTCTATTGTATCTCACTTCTTGTAATTTGCCCTTCTCCTCACTTTCTCTAGTTCTATCTCTTTAATTTCTATTTGTGTTTTTCTTTTACTTTCCTAGCTTTACTCCTCTTCTTTTTTCTGCTAAATAGAAAAAAGGCGTGCTGGGGGCGGAGGACTCTCTCCCCCCACCTCCTCCCTTTTTTCCTTCTCCCATCATTTTTTTCGTCTCTCCTCTTCATCCCTTCCATCTCCCGTCCTCCTTCCTTTCATGTTCTTTCATCATTTTTGCACTTCTAGTTGATGTCGTATTCTTGATCTTTTTCTCTGCCTTCTTTTCTTTTTACTCTCTTTTTTCTTGAGTAGGTTAACACCTTCATGGGTTTTTACCTTGTGTTGGAGAACTGTATCCTTTTGTGGTCTTCTCTTAAGCTGTATCCTTTTGTGGTCTTCTCTTAGGCTTCGAGGACTTGCCTTGAGGACTTTGAAAATCTGGTATCTAAAACTTAACACCTGAGATTAGGCTTTGTCCCTTAAGGACCCTAGTGAGCCATGTCGTGGTTTCTCATGTTCTCTTATGGTAGCTTGAAATTCT